CTTGATTCTAGTTGCTTGATGTTTCTTGTTATTGATCAATGGCTTTTAAGCTTGTTTAAATACACATTGAATCACTTCTGAACGTTGGGGATAATTAATGAAGTTATTGGAGTCGTTTAAGTGTGAAAACAATTAATATTTCTGCTTGGAGCGTGAGGGGAATCGGTACCCCCTCATGGGGAATCGGTTCCCTAAGTGTAAAATTCAAATATTCGACCGTTGAACAGTGGGGGGAATCGATTCCCTCCGAGCATACTGGAATTTCTCGGAGCAAAACCATTCAGGGGAATCGGTTCTCTCTGGACAAACTGTAATTTTTGGCTTTGAAACGGTTCGAAATACTTTGTAAAATTGTTTTGAAATTATTTTAAGATTAAAACTTAATTTTACACTTTAGTAAGGATTTAAAATGAACTTTGAAATACTTTGAGTAATATTTTGATATTCGATTTAATATATTGAATATGCTTAGAAAAATCATTTTCAAAATTAAAATTCTTTTAATTTAATTTGTTATATCGAAACATCAAAATGTTTTCAACACACTATATATAACTGAGATTTTTTTTCCTGCTTTTATCTCATGTCTTGTAACAGAGTTCATAAACATACGACTTTAGAGATAGTGTATGCAATACTTATGTACTCGACTTCAGTGGTGAATCGAGCCACCGTTTTTTACTTTTTCAAACTCCATGAGACTAGGATGCCACCAAGAAAGACACATTACCTTTAAATGGTCATTCGATCATCAAGGTTGCTCGCCAAATCGGCCTCAACAAAGGTAACTAGTTGAGATGTTGAGCTATTTGCATTAAAAATAAGATTGTAGTGAATGGTTCCTACTGGATAGCATAGAATTCTTTTAGAAGTCACCCAATGTTCTTTATAGGGGTTCTCTGATACCATAATGAGTAATCAAATATATGATCATTGAAAGGTATTCTCATTTATATTATGTTAGTTACATGACAGCTGCCTTTATAAGCATTGTACATCATTCTAGAAAGCTCTATAATTATAATATTATCTAACATAAAGGCTAGCGTCACTTACGTAGCTGACTCACATGCAGCTGGCCTTACATTCTATAATAGTCACTACATTCCCTCTGCTGCTCTGTAGCTTGACCATAGCTACAACATTCTTCCATTTTTTTTGTAGTTTTATCACTGTCAACACAAACTTTCTCTTAAAAAATCAAAGGCATATTTCGATAATGGTTTGGTAAAACCATTAGTGATTTGATGAAGAGCAAGGACATGATTCACTTTTAGCTCGTTGCTTGTCACCTTCTCGCGCACGAATCTCATGTCAAGCTCAACATGTTTCGTTTTGGCATGGAAGACGGGGTTTACACTCATGGCTATAGCGCTTGTGTTGTCACTCTGCACAATTGGTATTTTCTCCTACTTTTCTCCCATGTCTTGTAATAAAATTAAAAATCATACAACTTTAGAGACAATGTATGAAATGCTTCTGTACTCGACCTCAGTGTTAGATCAAGTCATTTTTTTGCTTCTTGAAACTCCACGAGACAAGGTTGTTGCTGAGAAAGACACACTGTCTTGAAATGAACCTTTGATCATCAAGGTTGCTCGCCCAATCAACATCAGCAAAGGCAACTAGTTGGGATGTTGAGCTATTTACATTAAAAATAAGACCATAATGAATGGTTCTTACGAGATAACAGAGAATTCTTTTAACGGCCACCCAATGTCCTTCACAAGGCTACTCTGATACCTTGACGAGTAATTAAATATATGATTGTTGATAGGTATTCTCATTTACATTTTGTTGGTTACATGACAATTGACTTTATAGGCATTATACATCATTCTAGAAAACTCTATACGAGTAATATTCTCTAACCATAAGGGCTGACGTCACTTACGTAACTGACTCACCATGTAGCTGACCTTACATTCTAAAATAGTCATTACATAATCAGCCCAACAACCAATAGTTAACAAATCATCCCAAATAATTCTATGTACATGTAGCGACTGATGATGCACGTGTTAACAATTTTGTATGATTTCAACATTAATGAAATCATACGTTTCATAAAAAAAAATATGTACATGTAACGACTAATGAGAGTATCAAACCAGTTAAAAAAATATATGTACGATATTTGTAAAAGTGATAAATTTATATATTAAATGTGTAATGCTTGGCAAATATATGTATTAAATGGCTTAAAAAATTACAAGAACTACTTTTATAAAAGTAAAAAAAGATCAAGAATGAACTAGATCACACTTCAAAATAATTTTATAATGTATTAAACTTTACATTAAGCTAAATCCATTTTAAAATAATTTTAGATCACATTTCAACGAGAAATTATTTTATAGATCATTTTTACTACATCTATAATTTTTATCTAATTGAATGAGTACATGTCATATTTATATTTCACACTATATTTTTTATGAATTAAAACTTTTAAATCAATTATATTCTTAGTTATCCCATCTTCTTCCCTAATCTTTAGACATCAAATCTCTATAATTTTTCTACCCTTTCTTTGAATCACCGTCGCGATCAAAATTAATATCGATACAAACTTTTAAATTCTTTTCAAATTTATTGTTTTCCATCCTACCTTTCTATGTCCTTCAGTTTTCTTAACTAACAAAATGATTATTGAAAAAAATAAAATAAAAGTACAACACTATTAATTGTAAATAAGAAAATAAAAAATCTGCTCTACTGCTCTTTTCACAAATCTATAAAATCTCTACCCTTTCTTTTATCATTCAACTTTTCTATTCTACTGAATGAAATCTTACGTCTCGTTTGAATGGACCAATTGATTGCTTTTCATGATAGTAGGTATGAATTTAATTTCATTAGTTTCTTTTTTGTTTCCATTTTTCCAACTGCGTTGAAATTGGTAAGTGCATGCGTTGAAATTGATTGCTTGGAGATAACTTCATTAGGAGGTATTTGACCATTGGCTAGACTACAGTTTATAAAGAAAAGGAGTTAATTACATTATACGTCCCAAATCTATGATTCTCATTTCAAATTTGTCCCTATACTCAATTTTATCCTTAAACTATGACTATCATTCTAATTTAGTCCTCAAAATTTTCATCCCCAAACTGTAATCTTCATTCTAATTTGGTCCCCAAACTTTTTGATTATTTCAATTTTATCCTAAATTATATATATATACACACACACACACACACTAATCGCATCTCTAGTTAATAAAATCATTAGGCCAAGTTATATTATTATATGTTTGAAAAAAATAAAATTTTAGGTTAATCTATGGTTGTGATGGATTACATATTTGGAGGAATTTGAGGATGAAATTGGAAGATCTAAAAGTTTAGTGATTAATTTAGAATGAGATTCATAGTTTGAGGATGAAATTAGAACGTTCAAAGTTTAAGAACTAATTAAGAATGAGAGTCATAGTTTGAGGATGAAATGTAATGTTTAAAAGTTTAAGGATTAATTTAAAATGAGGGTCATAGTTTGGGGACATATGATGCAATTAACTCAAAGAAAAATGAGAAATGACTTAAAAGAGAAATTCAAGAGAGAAAACTTAGGAAAATAAATTTGGTTCTAGAGACGAGAACTATCTAGAAAGTTATAGGGGGAGTATAGCTCTGAATCATGCTTAGGACTAGAAGAATGGTTTGATAAATATTTTAAAAAGTTTTGGGAGGGTTAATGAAAATGTATAACAACTTTGATGGGGCTTAATTAAAAATATTCAAAGTTTTTAAGGCTTAAGGAGAATTTCTAAAAGTTTAAGGGGACTAATTAAAACCTTTTTTTTAAAAAAAAAATTGAGCGTAATGTAGATTTCTCAAAACTTTGGGAGACCATGAGTTAAATTTATTAGGGTAACCTACTTTTTTTAGGCACTTCACTTTTCCCATGTTCTTGTTATGGTCACTTAACTTTTAAAAATTCAATTCTAGCACAAAACTTCTAAACTTGGCTTGTTTTAATCACTCCACCATTTGTAGTCTATTGTCATCACCAAAATGCTGCGTTTTGGACCTTTTTATTTCTGACAATTTCCAAGTACTTTGGCATTCTTCATGTCGATGACAGAAATACTTCTCCATTGCCATTTGACTGCCACTAATCATCGTTTACAACATAACTTGTCCTACTAAAACATTCCTCTTTCTCCCCCTTTTATTTCTTTTCAGTTTGGTTTTCCCTTCGAACTTGACAAAATTAAAATCAAAGCTCAACAGTATCTTGACCCAATCTACAATCTCCAACATCTGATCAACGTAGAACTGAGACATGTTGCTCTCCTCCTCCTTAATCTCTTCATCGTTTGGATTTAGACGAAAATACTATAGGGTCAACAAATCAAAAGAAGTTCAAAAATATGTGTTTGAGAGAAAAGTTTCATTTTTTTGTATATGTATACCAAAAAAAATAAATAACATTGAAGACTTAACGGTTGAGTCATCAAAATAATCGAAATTCAAAAATTTATTGATGAAATTGATAATTTTCAAAGTTGAATGACAAAAACCGAAAAACAAACAAAGTCGAGCTACAAAAAGATAGTGTGCCGAATTTAGTTTTATGCCAAAAAAGAAAGTTGGTCTGAATACTTGCACATAAGAATTGCTGAAATAGATTACTGTATATTAATTTTCTATCATTGACAGACTACAATTTCTAAAGAAAAAATGAGATAGTGACTAATGAAAATTAAGAGAGAAAATGTGGAAAAATGGATTACTTCAAGAGACAGGAACTATGTAGGAAATTCCAGTGATGGAAGTGAAGAATAGATAGTTTTAATTTTTCAACATAAGAGTAATGAGACTTTGAATTCGTATAATTTTATTCTTTTTATATCTATAAAAATATATTGTAATGTTAAAATTCCCTCAATGCATCTGCTCCACCCCAACTCCAGTCAAGGCTGTATATTTATGGACTTATAGTCTTATAATGACCAAGCTTAATCTCCACTCCAAGGTGAGAGAAATTAAGAGAGAATGGGCATTCTTATGGTGTTTTACTTCATGCTCCAGCTACCATGGCTAATACCGGCAGCCGATTCCGATTGCAACGAGATGTGTGGAACTGTTGCTATTCCGTTCCCATTCGGAATCAAAACCGGTTGCTATATCAGTTCGTGGTTTCGAGTCACATGCAACAAAACTGCTAACGGACCAAAGCCTTTCATCAGTAGCATCAATCTAGAGTTACTCGGTAAATTTCGGCCATACGACAAGCTCATCGCGGTCGAAAATCCGGTAACTTATCTAAATTGCGGCAACAAAGGAAGCAACGGCACCACTTCTGCTTCTAGTGTCAACCTAACAGGCAGTCCATTTTTCTTCTCAAGTAGATACAACCGATTCGGGTCAGTAGGTTGTGGCAATTTGGTCTTCGTTTCTCGTGACATTCGAACCGATCGAGTTGTCGGCTCATGCCTGCAACGAAGATGCGGTGACCCGACTTCTAAATCGGGTGGGTGCCATGATGAGTTGATTAAAGAGAATCTCACTTCCTATACGGTAAGCATGATAGGGGTCACTAATCCCAGAAGAATTCAGAGATGCACATCTGCTTTCATGTTTGATTCGAGCATGTTAAAATCATCGGACCTAGATCCTCGTTTTCCCTATGATATAAGCATTGATACCACCAAGGTTCCCGCAACTCTGGAATGGAATCCGATCAAATGTGATTTCAAAGGTAACCTTTCACTATCATCTCTAAGTTAAACTAAAACCTCTTTCTCTCTTTTTTTCGATTTAAAAGTCTTAATTTAATTGTCGAGTGGTTAGTATTTACTTATTGATTTCTGTAGTACTATAATATTTCCAACAATGACGAGTTTTGACCACAAAAACATGATAACCGCCTCAACGATGAGACTGAGATTAAACAAATTAGTGTATATAAATTAAATTTATAATTTACGCACAATACAAAAATTAATGATAAAATTTAGCCATTATTAATTAAACTGCTTTGGTTCTTGCTATGAAGCGGAGCTGTGCCAAGAAGTAAAAGGAGCTGAAAACCAAGGTTACCCACCTCCACAGCTTAAATCGCCAACTCTACCATTACCTTACAAGGATAGCTGTATTGAAAGATGTGGGAATTTCGATATTACATTCCCATTTGGAATTAAAGATGGCTGCTACATGAATCATGCGTTCAGAGTAACTTGCAACCAGACCGTTAAAGGACTAAGACCTTTCATAAGTAGCGTCAATCTGCAGTTATTGGAGATTTCATTTTCCAAACGCACGGCTGTTATCAATAATCCGATAACTTATTCCGGTTGCCTCGACGAAGATCGAGAAACTAATGTGGCGGTTAAACTCAACCTAACAGGCACCCCCTTTCTCTTCTCAGATGTCTTCAACAGATTCGTGTCTTTTGGTTGCGGATGTGCTACGTTTCTTAGTAATTCAACTGATGATAGTCCCGATGGTTATTGTCTGCAACCCCGTTGTGGCAATAATGTGACTTCCGAAATGAGCTGCTCTTCGGGTATTCCTTCGGGTCTTAGTTCCTTTGCGGTAACCGTGACACCGATTTATCCTAGTAACGGTAGCAACAGATCATGCGGATCCGCTTTCGTTGTCGACGAACGTTACATCGATTCGGTAGAGAAGATGATCCCATACCACAATGTCACGAAGAATCGGAGTTTGTTGCACGTTCCCACGACACTGCAATGGGGAACACAAAAACGAGGGCTGTGTGAGTTGAGAGAAGGTTCAGACATCTTTTGTCGCTCCGACGGTGAATACTGTTGGACGAGCTTAGGTCAAACACATCTATGTGTTTGCACTTCGGATCCCTATGTTGATTCTAATGATGTATGCCAAGGTATCGTCATTTTTATATTTTTACCATGATATTTCTGTGATAGCATGCATTATATTAGATCTAACTCTTTTTTATACATTTCATAAATGGTAGAATCAGGAAAATGTCGAGATTTGAAATATAAGCACTGTTATATGCTTTGCTTGAATACTACTCCTGGAAACAACTGTTCATCGTCTTGTCCTGTTGGATATGAATATATCAAAGACATGTGCAGGCCCATAAGTCCAAGAATCGTCACAAAAGAACCTAAAAGCTCACACATTCTGCCGATCATAGTAGGTATGCATTAATATTTATTTTATATATAAATAAATATTAATTTAAAAATTTACCTTTTTGCTATAGTAAATTATGTTTATCATACAATATAGGTTGCAGCACCAGCATTGGGACAATATTTGTGCTACTCAGTACATGGTATTTTTACAAACTTTTAGCAAAAAGAAACAAAATCAAGCTAAAGCAGAAATACTTTAAAAAGAATGGAGGCTTATTGCTGCAACAACGATTGTCCAACAATGAAGAAGGCAATGTTGAGAAGATAAAGTTGTTCTCTTCAAAGGAATTGGAAAAGGCAACAGATTATTATAACGAGAACCGAGTTCTGGGTCGAGGTGGCCAAGGAATTGTTTATAAAGGAATGTTAACAGATGGAAGCATTGTAGCAATTAAAAGGTGTAAACTGGTGGGAGGGAATGTATTTGACGAAACGAAGCTTCAACAATTCATTAATGAAGTGATGATTTGCTCACAAATTAATCACAGGAATGTGGTCAAGCTTTTAGGATGTTGCCTAGAGACACAAGTCCCTTTACTGGTGTATGAGTTCGTCCCAAACGGGACCCTCTATCACCTCATACATGAGCCAAATGAAGATTTCCCATTGACTTGGGAAATGCGTTTACGAATAGCGATTGAAATTGCAAATGCTTTGTCCTACTTGCATTCAGCTGCATCTGTCTCTATTTACCATCGAGACATCAAATCTAGCAACATACTTTTGGATGATAAATACAGAGCAAAAGTGTCGGATTTCGGAACTTCGAGATCAGTCGCACTTGAGCAAACTCATCTTACTACTAGAGTTCAAGGAACGTTCGGATATTTGGATCCTGAATATTTTCGATCGAGCAAATTTACAGAAAAGAGTGATGTTTATAGTTTCGGGGTTGTCCTTGTTGAACTTTTGACGGGACAAAAACCCATCTCTTCAAGCCAATCAGAGGAAGTGGTGAGAAGCTTGGTTAACTATTTTCTACTATCAATGAAGGACAATTTCTTACTCGACCTTGTGGATACATTGGTAATGAATGATGGTCCGAAAGAAGAGATTATAGCAGTTGCTAAGCTATCAAAAAGATGCCTCAATCTCAATGGAAAGAAAAGACCTACAATGAAACAAGTTGCGTTGGAGCTGGAATGGATTAGATCGTCAAAAGAAGCCATTGCCATTCGACAAAGTTTAGATGAACATTCTGACACAGATGGTATGATCGAAGCTTCTGATATTGCATCTTGTTCAACGTCTGGTTCGATTCTAAATGATAGTGTTACTTTGTCATTAGATGCATAGTTCCTCTTAATTTCACACCCATTAGGGAAAATAACTTCTTTAGTCCCTCAACGTTTTTTGTGTTTTTGTTTTGCTTACTCAATTTTGTCACTAGACTTTCGAATTTTATTTGTTTTGGTCACCTGTTCGTTGTTAAGTGTCTAACCATGTTTAGTTTTTCTTGAAGAATTTTTTAGGAAAAAAATCAAAGCTTTCCTCTTAAACTCATATTTTTGAACTTCCTTCAGTTCATCATGTCAGAGTTAGGGATGGCAGTTTAACTTGAAGTTGACGGGTTCTGACCCAACCCGATCTAATAGGGGGGATTTTTTAAAAAAAAATTCGGGTTCGGGTCGAGTCAGGTCATATTTTTTTTCTAAAGGTGAGGTCGGGTTCGGGTTCGGGTGGAGAGTGGAAAAAACTCCGACCCGAGGATAATGATGTAATTTCCTTAAAAAATTATTATTATTTTTAATTAGGTCCTTATTTTTTATCGGATCGGGTTGGATTTATACTCTAAAAAAATCAATTCGGGTCGAAGTCGGGTGAATGATATATATTTTTAGGGTTGGGTTAGGTTGAATGATGGGTATAAAATTTTTGGGTCGGGTCAGGTTCGAGTGGAAGAAACCTATTTTCGGGTCGGGTCGAGTTGATCAAAAACCTGACCCTAACAGGACCCGTTGCCATCCCTAGTCAGAGTAGTTTCTTTCAAATTCAAATAGTAGAAGGTCAAGAAAAAGAAGAAAACCAATATATAATTTGATTCCATATTGATGAGATGTTAGAGACAACATATGAAATGGAGATGAGTCGATACTTTAAGTTAAATTTTGTTAATTTTGAGGAAAACTAAATTAAGAGAAGAAAGAGGGGAGAAAGAAGAATCCTGATATGATCTTAATCAGCCCCAACTTTCTTCTTGATTTGATCACATTATTGAAGTTCACCAAGATTGATTCAAAGGGAGTTATACCTTAATTCATCCTCTACTTGCTCATTTATGCACTATATCTTATCATATGTTTACATTTGCCTCTTAGGATATGCTTATCATATGTTCATCATTCGTTATGTTCAATGATATGCATTGATGTGATCTCATTCGACAAGGACCCGAAAGAATTACCTAGTGAACCTATGACACAAACTATGGCAAGGAAATTCCAAGCAACCATGGAAAGCTTGATTTGTCGAGAATGGGACATAAGGAAGGAGACACTAAGTTTAAGGGAGGACTTCCGTCTTTTACTTGTCCATGAATTTGCATGAGTGTTAAGAAATTTGCATAACATTATAAATTTGCATGAATTCCAAGAAGCCATGGAAAGCTTGATTTGTCAAGATTGGAACGTGAGGAAAGGGACACTATATTTGAGGGATGACATCCATCTTTTACTTGTGCATTAATTTACATGAGTGTTAATAAATTTGCATGACATAAAGTTGCATAAATAAATACACATGCTACTTCATTTAAGCATGAGTTCTAAATATTTGCATGACATGTTTGTTTTTTAATTTGTTTTAAAGCTTGAATGTGTACTCTATTGTGTCACGGTGCATGATGGGAGATGAATAGTCACATTAAGTGCAAGAACATCAGTCAGTTTATCTTCCATTTCTGGATATGATACACACAAATTTGAGTTATGAAATCAATTGGATATTATTTCTCTATCTCATAGCTTTTCAACGCCTTTTGAATCACATCAACCCAATAACAGGAGCTTGAGATATGTCATTTTACTGAAGACAGTACAGGCTGAAATTTCATTATGGGAAATACATGCATGGGAGACAAGTAAATAATGTCCATCATTATCATCCATTTGGAGAGGTTGTTCGAATTATTTATGGAGACAAGTCTTCAATTCATCCTTAAAAGCTATCTTTATCACTCATTTGAAGGTCCATTCGAATTCTATAAGGAGTCAAACTTTCAAGACCAGACACACAATAAAAGCTTCTTTATGACATTCAAGAGTGATGAATGGCTTGAATATGAGCATGGAATAGCAAGAGACACTCCCCTTTTGATCGCATAAGTGTCTACATATATTCAATGTCCACATTCATCTTCCATTCTTTTTATAAGTGAGCAACCAAGGAAGTTCAAAAGTCTTCATTCCCCTCGGGCGAAATTAAGTCTTAATTCAGCCTCAAAAATGTCCAAATTCATCTTAGGCTATATATATTTTCAATCACTTCGAGAGAAGAGAAGAAACATTTAATTTATGAGCTTTCATTATCATTATGATGAAGAAATTATCTCTTTTTGTAAGACTCTTCATATTCAGTCTATGAGTGCTATAAATAGGCATCTTATTCTATTGTGAGACACAATTCGATATATATATATATATATATATATATATATATAATTCTTTGTGAGTTGTTTTCTTTACACTACAACAAATTTGTTTATTTATGGCATTTGAAATATCGTCACTGAAATTCACATTTATGTCACTTTTATATTTTGTGACGTAAAATTTAATGTCACGACGAACATCACGCTAGATGTGTCACTAAATGTCAAATATGACGATGTATATATTTTCGTCACGTATTATTAAATACATAGTGACGTTAATGTATTACGTCACCTTAGAAATTATATTCAGTGACAATTAATTATGTCATAAAATAATATAAAGTTTTGTCACTATTTATTAATATCGTCACTAATAATATAATAATTTTATTGTATTAATGACAAAAAATATTGTTATAATTTTTTTTATAATAAATAAAAAGCGTAAAATTACAATAAATGCCTAAATTTTTTAGTAATTACAATATACAACACAACTTTTTATAAATCACATTTAAGGACAAAACTTTTATAAATTACACTAAAGGATAAAATATTTTAGTAAAAGGACAAAACTTTACATAAATTAAAATTAAGGACAAAATATTTTATAAATTAAAATTAAGGTTAAAACCTTTTATAAATTATAATAGAGGCCACAACTTTTTATAAATTACATTAAAGGAGAGGTTCACATAAATTACAATAATAATATACATCTTTTACAAATGACAATAATGACCCATGATAAAGTTGCAACTTTATCTACTAACCATGCGACCACAATAAACCTTCTTAACGAGGCAATCACCAACAGAGGGCAAATCATTCTTGGTCTTTAGTCAACAGCTTTCAAGCCTATGTAACATGCATTGCAGGAACTCATGAGCATCTTCCAGTTGATATCTCTGGAAAATGATACAATGCCTAGGTCCATGAGAGTCAAGAATCACAATTATGAACACACTTCATTTCTGTATTTTTCTAGTCACTCTCCATACTTGAAATACACCTTTCCAAGCACATCAAATATAATCTAAAAATGACCAAAATACTAAAGAAATAAAGTGACCAAAATTTAATTCATTCTAATCAGAAACAATGCTTATCTAATTATGAAACCAATAATTAGATACTGTTCAATTTGTAAAATCTTTTGTGAGGCGATACAACTCTTGATGAATACAATGAAAGTTCAATGTGATGACGAAGAGCACAAAGTAAACAAAAACCCTCATTACCACCTGGCAATTCAAACAGAAACAAAAACCCACGAATTTCCCCATATAGAAAATCTAGAGCCAGAAGATTTGAATTCAATCACCCTGACCATACCCAAAACCCACGATCGAGTTAAATCCAATTCCACCAGATTCAAAGAAAATAAGAAGTTTGAGAAGGGAAAATGGGGAGAAAACGAAGTCAAAAGGGAGAGAAGAGGGAAAGCTTACCTTATCGGGTTCTTAAGTTGGTGACGGTTGGAGCATTCGCCGGTGAATTGAAATGGTAGATAAGGAGCCTAAGTCAAAAAGAGGAACAATGCGTGATTTCAATCCTATCCGACGATGAACAACGTGGATCCAACAAGTGAAGAGACTAATGCTCCAATCTAGTTTTGCTTGTTCTTATTCATGTTTCGGAAGATTCGTTCGGATGGAAGAGAAGAGAACGCGTTGTGGGTTATTTTGATACAAAGTATCGCCAGTAAAGTCACCGTAGCACAGCGGCGAGGGCTTAAAAGCATCGGCAGCTAGGGTTGGATGTTGAGAGAATTTTATTTTTCTTAGTTTGACATGAGGAAATATAGAGGAGCAAAAGAGGACGGACACCCGCGTTGCTATGCAACCTTTAGGATTATATTAATTTTGGTCCCCCAGCTTTATTATTTTTGTCTTAATTCTATCATTTTCAGTCAAATTTATTTTCTATTGCAACCCAATTAATTTTTCTTTTACATATTGGTCCTTACATTAATGTGTTTTTATTTTTTTATTTTTTTTATCTTATTTAATTATTGTTATTATAACTATTTTATTTTCACTCACACATTATTTTTCTTTTTTATAGTGTCAATTTTATGGATTAATATATTTTTATCTCTTTTTTTTATTTCATTTCATTTGATTTTGGTATAATTACTAGTATCCGATCTATTGATCGACTGATTCAGATCGGTCGTTAGGATTCAAACCCTTGACCTTGCTTAAGGGATCTAGTGCCTCATTTCACTAGATTTTGGGGAACAACATATTTAATTATTTTAATATCAAAAAATTATTTTAATCTCGTTTTTGGGGCACAACATTAATTATCTTATTAGCACTCGTCTTTAACATGATCAACTAAAGATTATTTTTTAACAGTAAAAGAGATCTTAAACATATAAATACATATACATATATGTATTAACAAAAAAAATCTTATATATATATATAATACATAAATTTTAAAAATTAAGAAAACATTTAAATTAGTGACATATCTAAGATGTCACTAAAATGTTTTCAACAATTTTCTTTTGTTAATTCATGGTGTCAAATATTAAGTGACACGTCATGATGTCTTTTAAAATTGTTATATAAAAGACAAGAGATTGTGACAAATCATTGCTTTTGTTATGTTAAACCTATTTGTGGCACAAAAAAAACATTATATTTTATATCTTAAAATATATGACAAATTAAATTGTCACAAAATACAACCTATAAGTGACAAATATGCAATGTCACTAATTTAAATAATATCATCATAATAATAAACCGTCACTAATAGTTATATCTTATTGGAGACAATTTTATAATGTCATCATTTTATCTAAACTTCATTAAAATGTTTCCCACCAAAAAAATTTGGAGGCAAATTTTGGCTCCAAACATATAATGACAAAAATCAATGACAATTTTTAAAATTTTCATAAAAAATATATCATGAATCACTAAATGTGACGAAAACGAAAAAAATGTTATATTTATAGTATATTTTGTGACGTTATTTGTAACGTCATATAGAAATTTCGTCATAAATTTGTTGTATTAATAGTTCTTTTTTAATAACTTTATAGGCTTCAAGTTGTTCTTGAGGCATTCATCCATTCCATTCTTTTATATTGTTGGTTCCTAGCTCTTTATAACTAGAGGGTCACAATCCATACCTGACCACTTCAAAATCCATCTTGTTATATTGTTGGTTCCTAATTTTTATATAACTAGCTGGTCACAATCCATTCCTACATATCCCGCGCCTATATCAACCATTACCTTCATCATTTTTCCTTTCATAAAACCACAACTTCCATCACTTTCCATAACTCATCCTATTCACAACAACCCTCGTATTTTCACTTCTTTATTCATCATTTTCATATCCATAAATATCTCTCCTTCATCATATTACAGGTTTCAGTTTCAAATTACAAGTATTCAAGATCCATCGCTTACTAGAACCACAATCAAGCAACATCATATGATTAGGTAACATCACAACCAGATTCATATAAAATATTATGGCACCAATGACATCGCAAACAATGATCAGTAGCGGTATAATGACAATGATGAAAGATTTCGACCTTAAGAAAAAATATTAAGACTTAAAGAAAATGTTATAAACCAAAAAACCCTAAAAACACAATATTTTGGTGTTGACGTGAGGCATTTTTTTGACAGTGATCAAAATAAGAAATTTAAAAGTTCGGTGATGAATCTAAAATTTTATAAAGTTGAATCAACAGAAGGAAAAAAACACCGACAAAGTAGGGTAAACTTCTTTTTTAGTCTTTCAATTTACATGTGTTTCAATTTTGGACCCTAAATATTGAAAAATTATTTCATGGACCCGACTCACCACGTCGTCTATGATCCTAGTGAATGATAGCCACAAAGTTTAAAATAACTTCCAAATAACCACCACCTTTTATTTACACGTAGGAAAAAAGATGGATATTTACCTTGGAAAAATGATGTGGAAAAATGTTATCGGTTTGGACCACATATGACGTGGTGAGTTGGGATTATCTAATAATTTCTACTAAACATTATTCCTTTAGTGTGTTTTCTTCTTCGTTATTTCTCATGTAGTTTAACTTGTCTTTCTGTAATTCAGTCAAATATAATAAAATTGTAATGTTTTATTGTTAAATAATTCTTAAATTTATTCTTACATGTTCATCAAGTTCATTTACTGAACCTTTCCCAATCCACAATAAGAAAATTTACAGACATGGATGACTGAAAGAGACCACACTTTGTCAGAACGAATTCACAAAGAGCACAATGATAAACAAAACCCCAAGATTTCCCACCACACGAATCACACAAGTAATGGTGACAATAGTGTTGATGGATGAATTGTTGTGAGTTAGTTAGGTGGTTATAAATCAGTTAAGTTGTTGTAAATAGTTATTTTATCAGTTGAGGTTTGGTAGTTTTGTATATATATATATATATATATATATATGATGTAGTTTTGTGTTAAATCAATATACTGGAAGTATTTTTTCATATGAGTAGTTATCTTTTCCAAGTTTTAACATGGCATCAAAGTTAGGTCTTGATCCATTCCTTTTTGGGCTTTTTCTATTTCGGCCTGTTTTGTTTCTGTTTTTTGTTTTCGTTTTTCACAATTCTAATTGCTTTGTTTTTTCCTCAATTTTTTCTGGTTCTTGCCCTAATTTTTTTCACCTTCAATCGTTCTTTTGATCATGCCTGTTGCTGATAAAATGATTGATTTCGCTCAGGTTTTGTATCTTCATCTGTGGGATATGTCTGATCTCATGTTTGTTTCTCAGTCGTTGACTGGTTTGGACAATTACAACGTTTGAAGTAATTCCATGAAGATTGCACTAATGGCTAAGAATAAGTTGGGATTTTTGGATGGTTCTTGTCAGCGCGATGCTTATCCTGAGGCTTTACAGTTGCAATGGGATCGTTGTAATGCGGTGATGTTATCCTGACTTCTTAATGTCATTAGCAAGGAGTTATCAGCTAGTATAGTTTTTTGCGACTAGTGCTGCGAGCATCTGGAAGGATTTGCAGAAGCGGTTTGGTAAGGTTAATGGGTCTCGGCTCTATTTTTTGCATAGAGAGATTGCTACTTTTTCTTATGGAGAATTTATTATTTCAGATTTTTTTCTCGAAACTTCGAATGATTTGGGATGAATACGAAACCCTAGTCTCTTTTTTCATCTTGTGCTTGTGAAGTCTCGCAGTTGAATCTGCATCATTTGGTTCAACAAAAACCTTTTCAGTTTTTCATGGGTTTAAATGAGTCATATTCGACGTTGCAAAGCCAGATTTTATTGATGCAACCATGAGGTTCGGTTACACAAGCTTATTCGATGATTCTCCAAGAAGAGTCTCAACATTCACAACTTTTTGTTCTTGTTGCTCCTAGCTCAATAGTTTTATTCTCTAATTCTGTTGGCACCTTTGATCATCGTCATTTCACTGGTTCTTGTGATTTTTTTAAGATCAGGGGGCATAAAAAGGAACAATGCTATTGTTTGATTGGGTTCCCACCTGGTTACAAGTTCACAAAGAAGAAAGGAGATGTGGCAAATTCAAGTGTTTTTTTGGAATCTGAGGACACCTCAAAATCTCTTGGTGCTTCTCCTATAGCGCCGACGTTTACCACAGAGCATTATAATCAAATTTTGCTTCTATTGAATAAATCTCCTTCCGTTGATTCGGCTGCTAATCTCGTGGGTATTGTTCATTCCAATTCATTTAAGTACAATGGTTTTTCTTATTGTATTATTGACTTATTCTATCCGATTTTAAGAGCTTGATTCAGCCGGTTTCATGTGCTTCTCTTTCTCGATTGGTTCATCTCCCTGATGGCAATGTTGTGCATGTTACCCATATTGGTTCATGTTTTTTTTCCTGACTAAATGATTCACGGTGTTCTGTTTGTGCCAAATTTTAGTCATAACTTACTTTCTGTTTCTAAAATTACACATGATCTTAACTGTTTTTCACTTTCTATCCTGCTTTTTTCTTCTTCAGGATCTCTCCACTGGAAAGATGAAGGGGATTGGTAGGGAAGCGCATGTTTTGTACTACTTTGAGCCCTCCCATGGTGTAGGCCCTCCGTCCTCTCCATCTTTGTTGTTTGGTTATCATAAGTCTAGTATTTCCTTGAATGCTTCTTGTTTTCCTGTCAATGCTAGTTCATCTTGTAAGTGGCATGCTCGTTTAGGGCATGCTGCTATTTCAAAGCTTAATAAAATCAATTTTGACGAATCTTTTCCTGATCAACATGATTCTATTCTTAAATGTTCTATTTGTAGATTAGCTAAACAAACACGGTTGCCTTTCCCTGTTAGCACCTCTTGTTTCGATTCTCCATTTCAACTCATTCATATGGACTTATGGGGTCCATATAGGATATCTACACATGGTGGTCATTGTTATTTTCTTACTATAGTTGATGACCACACTAGGATGACCTGGATCTATTTGTTGAAGCATAAGGATGAGACTATCACTTGTATAAAACAATTCTTGGCTTTAGTTCAGAATCAATATTCTGTTACTGTTAAGACAATTAGGTCAGACAATGGGTCTGAATTCTTTAATAAAATTTATTCTTCTTTATTCTCTTCAATGGGTATAATTCACCAAAGTTCTTGTGTTAAAACTCCTCAATAGAATGGGGTTGCTGAAAGGAAGCACAAACATATTTTAGAAGTTGCTAGGGCGCTTAGGTTTCAATCCAAAGTACCTATTAAATTTTAGGGAGAGTGTGTTGCTGCTTCATGTTACTCAATAAATAGGTTACCTTCTTCTGTGCTTAATTGGAAATCTCCTTTTGAAACGCTTTAAAAAAATCACCATCTCTCTCTCATTTGAAAGTTGTTGGCTATTTGTGTTATGTTACTATTACTAAGCCTGCTGATAAGTTTTTACCTAGGTCAGTACCTATTGTTTTTGTAGGATATTCCCTTACTAAAAATTGGTATATTCTTTTAAACCTTCAAACAAAGTCTTTCTTTGTAAGCCGCGATGTTATTTTTTATGATGATGTCTTTTCTTTTCAGCTTGCAACCAATAGTACTTCTCCTATGTTTCCATCTCATCATTTTGTTCTAGACTCAGAGTTTTTGGAGCTTCATTTTCCACCAATGCCTTAACCACAGTCACCTTATTTGTCAGAACTAGTGTTGCCTTCTACCAATCCACTAACACCTGTGTCAAAACCACACATTGTTGATCTATCAAAATCTGGTCCTTTAGATTTTGGCCCTTCTGAACATGTTCCGATTACTTCAACAGATGATCAAGGTCAGAGGATTGTTCCTGTTAGAGTTTATTCTAGGTTGTCTAGGCCTCCTACTTGGCTTAATGATTACATTTATTCTTGTACTACTCTTCAAAGGTATCCTATTTCAAATCACATTTCTTATTCTCATCTTTCTTCTCATACTCAAAACTTTGTCTCTTCTATTTCCACTTTTTCTGAACCACATACCTATGATGAAGCCAAATCTGATCTCCAATGGGTCAAAGCCATGCAGGATGAAATTCGAGCTCTTGAGTTGAATATGACTTGGTTTTTGATACCTTTGCCACATGGGAAGGCTTTCATTAGGTGTAAACGAGTTTTTGAATTAAATATAAGGCATCTGGTGAAGTTGAGAGGTTTAAAGCTAGACTTGTGCAAAGGGGTATAACCAGAAGGAAGGCATTGATTTTGTGGACATTTTTTCTCCTGTTGCTAAGCTCACTACAGTTAGATTTGTCTTAGCTCTTGCTGCAATCTTTGGCTGGTCCTTATGGCAAATGGATTTCCACAATGCCTTCTTGCAAGGTGATTTGTTTGAAGAAGTCTATATGGAGTTGCCTCAAAGCTTTTGTAGCCAGGGCGAGAATTTTGCATGTAGGCTACAAAAGTCCTTGTATGGCTTGAAACAGGCCTCAAGGCTTTGTTAAACAATATGAATATTTTATAACTATTATAAAATAATTATTAAACTTATCAAATTATTATAAGATGATAATTATGTTGTAAAAGAGTAATGAACATTGATAAGTTTATAGAAAATTTTATAACAATTCAATAAGTTCGGTGACCCTTTTGTAATAATTTGATAAAGTCTAATGATTATTTTGTAATTATTTTATAACTTTAAAAACTCTAGTCACAAAAAATATTTTAAAATAATTTAACATTATTTATGTATTTTATTTATTAAAAAAATATTAAAATGTTCCACCTATTTTGCACCGAGTACAACAACTCAATGACGATTCAAGTACCCAATACATCCCCAAGATGGGTACAATTTGGGACGTGGGACGTCCCATATTAAAAGGATAAGACTATAATCAGTTGAATACACCAGAAAGATTTCTGAGGACTTATTAAGGTCGACGTTTGATCTTCACATGTGTTTCTAGGGTTATTTTTTAGTTTTAACTTAAAAAATAATAAAAATGATTTTGAATAAAATATTAAAGTTAATTCTAAAGTCTAGATCAACTAACTTATGGTGAATTTTTCGATGGGATCCAAGTATTTCTGGATTAAAATGTCTTATTACGTATGAATCATGTTTCAGTTATCTTTCTAATGTACTTTTACAAAGATAGTGCAAGCAAAAAACTAGATACAAATTTAATACATGATTTTATAGTAATTATGAAAGTTTAAATTTTTTTATATTTATCGTATCCTTTTCAAACTCATACAATATAATTTTGAAAATTATTATTTAACGTCTATATTTATTCTCGTATTCATATCAGTGCAACATAGTGTTCAACTAACAAATTTTTCACAATAAGCTCAAAATTAAATGAAAAAGAAAATGAAATTATATTAATAACAAAGGGCATGGTGACAGATATAAAACGTTGAAGGAATACAGCAATCAAGGAAATGGGGAATCTGTTTAGTTGAGTAGGTCTGGGTTTTTATTAAAACCTTCATCTCTCTTCCTCTTTTCATTTGCTGAAAATTTATTAACCAAAACACACACAAAAACCCAAAAAAAAAAGGGTTCCATTAAACCATATGAATATTTATGAAAACTCAAGGCCTCGAGGCTTTTCTTCGTTTGACGATTGATGACTTCCACCAAATCCTCTTGCTCTAGGAAGTAAAATAATACATAATCAATAACACTCATCATCTCCAATGATAAATTAAGTAAAAATCATCATCTCCAATGACAAATTTAAGTAAAATCTTATAATTTTACTATAACCAAATTTGGATTTAATTTAGGGTTTCAATTTAACTTATCCAAAACTTGACATTTAGATTACTATTAGAAAACTCATAGCATAAGGATTCGAATATGTAATTAGTTTTCAATTTGAGTGAGAAAAATATTCAATTTTTTTAGAGAAATTTTAAGGTTTAAAGAAGTTTAGAGTTTAACAAGGGTGATAAGACGAACATGACGACATGAATGAAATCTATTAAGCTTTCCTTAATACACCTTATAGTCGGTTGAGAAAACCCTCCAAGGAAGGTTTTCTAATTTGGTTATTTAAACTAATATTAGAAATTGGAACAAATTATATGTCAGAACCCAAATCAGGGGCTAAATTTTTTCTTGAATTAATTCTGGAGATTAAATTGAAGTTTTAGTTAAATTTGTGGACCAAAGTGAGTTTTTAATTTCATTCGAATCAAATTCAGAATACAACAAAAGCTCATAGACCTACAAGATAATTTTTCCATTTTAAAAATGTTGTATTAAAACCCCAAAACCTATGAATTTCTTCTTTTAGGAACCCAAAATCTCTCCCTAAAGTTTCCTCTTTTAGCAACTTTTAGCCAAGAATCTTTAAACGACATTCATCGTTGACCATAAACTTTTTTTACTACATCGCCTGTACCATCATGATCTTTGTGTCATCCGAGTCCACCGGTCTCTGTTTTATACCCGTTGTCGCGACATGTGAAGGGGTGAGGTGAATTGAGTTTCTAACGTAGAACAATCGAGCTCTCTGCCATTCGCTGATGTGATCCAAGCTTGGTAAATGTCTCAAAACCATTTAAAATGAATTATAGAAAATTTTGATAATTTTTTCAATGCCCTGAGCAGCCGTACGTGCCCCTACGCATTGTTGCTGCGTGTAGGGCTTGTCCACCGCTTGGTGGACCTTCTAGAAGCAAGTCAATCCGATCCATTGACCCATTCGACCCAACCCGCCTACTAGTCCAAGCCAACTCCCTTCATCCCAAACTGAACCAAACCAAATTGACCTAACTAAATTAGATAGAATTGATTCAACTGAGTCTAGGCCTGTAAATGAACTGAACGTTCAGCGAACCGTTCATGAACCGTGCGGCGGGAAGTTCGTTTATGTGCGTTTATTTATTAAATGAACGAACATGAACAAGATTTTGTGTTCGTTTAATTAAATGAACGAACATGAACATAGGTCTCGTTCGTTCATTTACGTTCGTGAACGTTCGGTTATGTTCGTTTATATGCGTTTAGTTATGTTCGTTTATGTGCGTTCATTTATGTTTAACCTAATATTCTTAAATCAATTTTGGTGACCAATTTGTATGTATCTTAAAAATATTAATTAATATGATATTTTGATGACCAACTTCATAATTAACCCAATTTTACAGCCTGATTAAGCGGTAATACAAAAAACCCTAAATCTAAAAACAATATTTTCTCAACTCTTCTCCAACCCGTCATTCAGCTGTTCTTGATTCTCAACTCTCCCCACCCTCCACAAATTTCATTTCTGCAACGATTCGACGGAGCTTCAAGTCTTCAACTGCAACGATTCGACAGAGCTTTATCTCTTTCCCTTCTTGAACGTGATTTCATAAGGTAAATAATTTGAATTATTTTTTTGGTCTGTTAATTTTGGGGTGTGAATTTAGGGATTTTTTGTGGCATCTTGAACGATGTGGAACCCCTTGTACGCCGCTATGAACGGTGCATTCGACCAGTCGGTCTTCTCCAGCCCACCCCTCGTTGCCCAGTCATCCGCGTTAGAGTTGCCCTTAGGGAGTCCCAGTCAGATTTGCGCTTATATCCTCTAGTGGGGGAAGAAAGTGGCGTGGTCAGTGGAGCGTTGCTGGATATGGCTGCAATGTTGCGGAGGAATGGAAGGAGGTGAGTCGAGGTATTTGAATTGAAACGAGTCAGACTCAGGCATAAGGAAGATGAGGGACTCGCATGGTAGGAAGGTTCGGGGCTTGGGAAAGATGAAAACTGTGGACTGGGATGGTGGAAGGAGAACAATATTAAATT